TCTCTCTCTCTCTCTCTCTCTCTCTCTCTCTCTCTCTCTCTCTCTCTCTCTCTCCCCCTCTCTCCCTCTCTCCCTCTCCCTCTCTCTCTCTCATACGCGAAAGAATTATCGTAAAAAAAATGCAAAAGTGTAAAATAGACGTACATGGCGCGCGCGCGCGATACAAAAATGACCGACATCATGCAATTCGGTTTTCACTCAAATTTCACAATTACATCACGAGCTGATAGAAGAAATTATTGTAAAACCATCATTTCACGGGAAAACATATCACTTTAAATACCTCACATGTAGCAAAATCCCGCTGAGTTCAAGTGCGTCTATTATACACTCATTGTACAGGTCAAAGATACATTAGTACTAAACAGTTATTGGCATCGTGTCATCCGTATCTTTCTCCATATGCTGCTGTGTTTCAACTGTCCGCTAAAAGTTACCGTGCGACTAAAGACTCGTTAATAATGCAATATCAAAGTGCTCACTCGATGGCAACCCTTCTTCCTAATGATCAAACTCCTCAACAAGGTAAAAAATGCTGACAGTTGCAGGTTTTCCACGCTTTATTTCAGCGGTCTTTTTCATATTGTCACATAAAAAATTCTTTGCGTGCATGCTTACAATTCTGCAATTATAAATGTGCAGTAAGAAGGGAAAAACACGAAACAACGAAAGTGACGGGTGTTTCTGACAATGGACAATATACATTGTGTGCGTTCACGCGATTATAATTTATTCAATTACTCCTTTGGCTACCAAAAGCGTCAACAAACTATACCCTCCTATGCGTTCATCATGCTTATTCTGATTACTGAAATATATGTGATGACGTGCACACATGCATACAACCAACTTTTAGTCTTTCGAAAATTTTGTTTTGAAAGAACGAACAGAGACGATTCTTCCTCGATAGTGCGAGATAGTACTTTTTTAATTCTTAGCATGCATCGTTCAAATGGATATAATGGTGCTCTTTTCTGCTACCGATTTATGTTTCTTTATTCAGATCAATTATCTCTCTATTTGAAAGTATTAATATAATTAAAATGTTTTATAATTTTTTGTACATAAATATCCAAATGTGCGGCAAAAATTTTTCAAATAAATTTATCAAAATACTCCGCTCAAGTGAACTAATTATGGAGAAATATAATAGCTGTTCGTTTTGCACAATACCACGGAAGTTCTTCGTATACTTTATTGATATATTAAGGCTTCTTGTACTATATATAAAATACTTCTATATTGCTAGCACAGTCATTTCCCAATAAGCAGCGTGCTCACGGATAAAATGAAACAAATAGCATATGCACGAAGTAAATATTATTAGGTTTTGTTCCGTATTACGTTGATATAAGACAGACAAAAACGAATTTTTGTCTTTCGGGTCGATTATGTCTCTATCGAATATTTTCACTTTTCACACTTTCAAGTGTGCTCAAACGAGCTCAGGTGGTCTTTCGTCTGTATTTATTTTTATTTAGAAATAGCACGAAACAATCGCCAGTATGTCATATCCCGCGCTTCTGACGTCATAAATCCAACATGGTCGCGGCAATGTACAAGAAGTCTTAATAAATAAAAAAGTTCAATTTTTCACAACATTTTTTATATGGAAAGTTAATATATCCAAGTACAAAGTAGCAAAGCCCATTTTTAACTCATTCGCTGATATATTTGTACATGCAAATATTATATGTAAAATTATAGTTTTTAGCATAAAGAGAAACTTAAGTTACTAATGACAGATTTCGAATGGGCGATCAATCCAAATCGACTTATGCTAAAAATCATCGGTCTTTGGCCGCCAGACAACCGGGACTCGCATCAAATTGTAAAGTTGAAATTTCAACGGCTGTGCAGTTTCATCACATTACTTTTCGTAATCACGATTCCGAGTTTAATGTCACTGATAAGAGTATGGGGTGACATGATATTAATGATAGATAATATGCAATATAGTCTACCTCTGTCAATGGCAGTTTTGAAAATCTGCATTATTTGGTACAAACAAGAAGGTATATTATGTTTATCAAAGTTTTTTTTATCAGTAACTTGTATAAATTTGTAAATCTATAAGACGCGCAAAAGTATCTATATAGCGAAATAATAATTCTTCAGATAGTCAAACCTGCACAAATAGATTTTGAGTAATGCCTGTTACAAATTTTTTTATGGCAAAAAGGCAGCAAATCCAACACAGGATTTTATATATCTAGTTATCCTATCAAACTATTATCAGAAATATGATAGAACCTGCTAACAGACAATCCGAACAGGTTGGCGGCAGAAACTGAGTAGTATTTGCAATTCTACTGAATTGGTTGCGTTCAGCAGAAAAGTAGCTTAGTAAGCTTTCTGCTGCGCTGGCAGCAGCTTTGCAATAATTGGAAGATTTTCTGCTAAACAACACTAGTGGTTTACGCTTCTTCAACATATTTATAAAGCGGTCGTCATTTTTTCAAACATACTTTCAATATACTAAACCGTTTAATAAATATGGAAAAAAGTAAATCTCTAAGTGCCATTCAGCAGAAAATCTTACGAATAAACCGCTTTGTGTTGTGCTGCCAGCTTTTTCTGCTAAATGTAACCATTGCCTATTTAACAGACTGTGCCAAAACGCCAAAATACGAGTTGACTGCGGATATAATGGTTATAGTTATGATATGGAATCCTGACCAAATTTCCTGCCAATCTGTGCATATTCTGTTATCTATTTGTTTCCTAGGTTATCACTCCTTGTTACAGTTATAGCCCCTCTAATTGATATGATTGAACGAGATTGGGTGAAGG